CCTGACCCCGGGCAGCACACAAAACGAGTGACAGGCAGTGACAGTGTGTAAAACTAGGGCAGGCAAAACGGGAAATAAAAGGATCTCCGTCCCTTTGACAAAACACATATTTGCTCACACACACCTTTCAAAATCGTAATGTTTAATTTAGGATTTCTTTATGAGCTTTGAAAGAGGCAGAGGGAACACTTCACTTTCTGAGGTCACTTTTAACATTCTTTTACCTCCCTTTATCTCTGGCTACCTAAGGCAGTAAAACACCCCCTGATCGTTTCAGTACCAAATTACACAACTCATTATCTGCTTACAATGGAGCCAAGCACTGTGAAGGCTGCAGAAGTGCTGGGAGGTCCCATGCTCGCTCTGCTGCAGCCTTGGATGCCCCTGCCAGATCACCCAGCACAGGATCAGCGAACCCACCACTCTGAATGCAATTCAGCCCCTGTCAGAGTTGTTCCTACCACTCTTCCTTGCGAATCACATCCCTGAGGTCTTAGAGGCACAGTTAAAGGCTACCTGTGGCAGTGCAGCGCTGTTGCACAGAACAAGTTGCCAGAAGCCTGCTTTTAATTCAGTGCCAACTTTGTAATATCTAAATTACTCGTTAGTTTTTTCCTGAGAAACAGTTGATATTGGTTTAATGGCTGAACTTACGTCAATGAAAGAAAAAAAAAAACACACACACAAAAACTAGTCAAATGAAGGAATTTCATCCATGTTACTATACCCCGCAATTTTTTCTCCCTGTGAAGGAAAGCTCCTTAAATCGAAGAGTTACCTTTTGGCAAAGTACCCTAGAATATTTTTAACAACTCTGACTTAAAATAATTTAATTTCCACAGGCAAAGGAAATTATTTGTTTTGAATCTCTGTACAGAACTGGTAGAATTCAGAATTTCCTATAAATGTACAGAGGATGCCCGCCTCCATTCGCGAGTACAGAAAAAACACGGTCATGAGGCTGGGGGGAGCAGCTATTACACTGGGTACCAATTAGGACTGGTACAGGAACTGAGACAGCCAGAAATATACCAAATATTAACGGATTTACACATCATCCATTCCTTCTGGCCCAAATACCAGCTACCAAAAGCTGCTGCGGCTCTGTCCCTCTACGCTTCACTCTGCTCTCCAAAACACACTGGCCGTTCTTGGCAGGATGTGCCCTTATAGATCCTAACGTAAGGGCATATGTTCCTCTTAACACCCAAACAGCTTCACCATACTGTATCATGTACTGTATTCAATTTGGGGAACAGTATACGAATATTGATTGACAAAATTTGGCCCGTATTTGTATTCTTACTGACTGCATTTTACTTCAGAAATAGATCCACTGATTTTGCTTTCCCAGCACAGCAATTTTTCTTATTCTCTCTTCAATACTTTAGCACAATTATGTCTGACTTAGTGGCTGATCTTTAATATTCAAGGTAATCATTAGGTAATAAATTCTTTAAAATCATCTAGCAACTGGGAATGAGTGTCAGTCGACCTTTTTTTTTTTTTCCTCTGGAACACAAAGCCCTTCTTTCTGTATCATGTATTTACCAAAACTACTTTTGCAATCTATTAGTCTTTTGACCCCAATCTTGATTTTTTTTCTGGCCATCTGACTAAACATCCCATAGAAACAAGTTCAGACTGGCATCTGAGATGACTCTTCCTGCCTCAGTTTTCTTTGTTGCAGCTGTCTCAAAATGTCCCATTATCATGTTTATTGCTGGATATTAAGTTTTAAAGATAGCTATGTGTTCCTTATTAACAACTTATTTTTCAAAATATAAAAACAGTGCTGTTGCAATCCTAGGTTTTACAGGCATATAAATTTAGAACATTTGAAAATGAGGGCAGAAGCTTGTTTCTGAGGTGCCACAGGGTTATACTTCTTACTCAAATTCTATACAGAAACAAGTTTCATATCCTCTCCCTCATCTATTTGGCTTGGATAATTCTTATTTCCAATTCATAACAAATAAAAAACAAACAGATCCACCGGTCAGAACACTGCCATGCATCATTCCACAGGATGACAGAGGATATCGGCCTGTGCAATTTCCATGCTTTCAAACTTCCTTTTCACCTCTAAAAGGCTGCATAATGTAGGTCACTTTTAATGAGGAGCCTTGCACGTGGCTTCCCCCACACGCTACAGAGCATCCAGGCACTTCTGAGTTCATGTTCTCCCTGTATCATAGCCATAGTTTGTCATTTTTTCAACAGGTTTGACTTTTGCCCACAATGCTGGGGACTTTCATATGGTAAAGTCTCTTGGCTGTCTCATTAACTCCAGATCAGTGTGTGCCCTTGCATTTTACTGTATCATTCCCTCCAGCACTCATTATGCTACAGTTTATACAGCCTCTGGCTGGAAACTTCTTAAAACATCATGATGAAATTACTTTCTCGACAGCATACAAGTCAATTATAATGTAATTAAAAGATACACTAATCTATTCCCTTGTTTGGTAACGGTATCTTGGTTAACATCATCCAGAGCATGCGTTTATCCTATCTGTGAAATCTTTTGCTATAAATTGTAATCTACTGTCCACAGCACCTGTTTTTCTGTAGAAGATATAAGAATTATAAAACCCATTCTCTCCCAGCCTTGGAACCAGAGAGGAATTAAAGTGGTACAAGCTATTATGAATCCTGGGTTGCCGCTTTTCCATGCTTGACTCCCCAGGCATTTCAGTGTTTTTTTTTTGTCACCACACACAAAGCACAGCCTATCAGGTTGGCAAAGCCTCAGAAGGGTGCTCAGCACGCCTTTGGTGCACGCCGTGCAGCCTGCCCCATGCTCTGTAGGACAGTGAAGGTTTCAGCAGCCCCATCTTATTCTGCACACCTGCAACTCAACACAGTGCCCAGGGTAACAGTCTGAATGCCTGAAGCTTATGTGACTGAGTAAGAACAATGGTTAAGTTAAGTGCCCAATATTCTTAATCATTTTAAAGTATTTTTATCGTCGCTATCTAAGTCAACATAAGGTTAAAAAAGAATCCAGTATCTGCATCTGAGTTGGATTTAAATGAGATTTCTCTTCAATCCAGTGTGCATCACACGTGTTTGTCCCACACTGTTAGAACAGCCACTTTGCAGCCAAGACAAGGATGGAGAGTTGTAAGAGATACATGTCCTTCATCTCCACCTTCCCTCCAGGCCCAAGTCCCTCCTTTCACTTGAGTTTCAGCTTTTTGTCATTAAAAGAGGGATAATTTTGCCCGCAGCGATGCTAATCTGCCTGATACTTGCCAACACACGAAGACTCTATTCTAATAAGTGAGATGAATGGAAAGCAGGACAAAGCCAACCAGCACTGCCTATATTCTTCCTCACAGTCCTACCAGGCTTCATTTTGGACTAGAAAAGTAGGTCACAATGCTAAGCAATAGTTGTTTGAGGGGAAAAAAGCAACTTCTATCATTAGCTGGGTACAAACACTGTCCTTTTTCCATATCAGTACTCTTAAACAGACAGGTCAGGTAATGGGACTCTCCAGAGGCAAGCGTGGAGGCACCATTTCTTCTTGACCTGCTCCTTAATCAGCAAAGGTTCGATACAATACGAATAATTCATGTGGTGAGTGATTGATTCTCGCTCGCAAAGCCACAGGAGAGAATTTTAATGGGAAAGGCTTACTGCCTCCTGGGGTAAATGCAACCGGGGGGACTGGTTCCTTCTTGGTGTCTTTTGGGCTGATAAAGGAGCGGAGCTTGGATGCCCTGCAGGACTGCGCAAGACCCTCTGGCTGAGGGCATGCACTGCCCTGAGCCCCCCCACTCCAACACATACAGCAATAATTGCTTGCTTTTTGTTAATCACTCATCCATGACCCCAGCAGCTTGCACAGGGCTGGGCGCTCCCCAGCAAACCAGGGGCTTTCTGGAGCTGAGGATGCCGGCACTGACAGCGTAACGATGGCAATGTATTCGTGCTGTACCTATCTCAATGGAACATCACCATCAATTTCAACAGGCGGTTTGGCTGATTTATAAGCCAATATATAACCAAATGCAGCACAGGGGATGTTTGGAAAAACAAGCATGTGAAGTAGGCATGACAGATATAAGCGGTTTATTGAGGGATGATTTCTGAGGTAGCTCTCTCCCAGGACAGTGACATTTTAAACACCCTCGTTTGAACAGCAACACAGATGAGCAGGCTGTAAACATGTCTCATTTTTCTGTGTTTTGTGCTTTGGCTGAAATGACAGAAATGACCAATGATTTCTGTGCAAGAGTGAAATGTTTTACCTTACACATCTGCAGTCTGCTAGGGGAAAGTGGTCACCTTACAAGTTAGTTTGGAGGGACGAATCAGAGGGAGAAGGTGCTAAAGGTATTAAAATGGTTGTCTGAGCAACCCACTCAACCCAAGTGACCAGGATTCTTGCAGGAAATACTTCAGCACACTGTTTGGGGATGCAAAACAAAATAAGAGAAAAAGCATGGGCAGCAGGGAATGTCTACATGCCTAATTTGTCACCCAATGCTGATGAACTCCAGTGCAAAAGCAGTAGAATATTAAATGCTAACCTGTAAACATTTCAACCATGCAAAAGGGAATACGCAGTTGGCATTTAAATCAAAAGCTCTTGTCTGCACATATCTGTCTCCTTGTTCCCTTTAAAAAGAACATTTTTTCACCAAAAAGGCCACAGTGTTATCTACCTAGCACAGGTGGTGTGTTTAGATACTGTGCTACAGACAAAATTTTGGCAGTTAAAGCTCTTGGCTCATTAGGACTAAAGTCAAACTAGTCGGTGATAAAATCCTGTCTAGGTCAATTCATTTTGGAAAAATCACTTTTAAGTCGCTCTGTGTTTTTTCAGTTGTCACTACAACTGTCCACGATGGTTTATATAAAAAAAAAAAAAGTGAACATTTATGAACTTATGTGTTCAATGCCGCCCATCTATGTCTATCGCCAGCCAGGGCTGACTGCCACGATCCTCTCCACACAGTAAACACGCCGGGGTACCATCAGCCTCCTACCTTGGCTCCATCCACACTGATAATCCGATAGCTGTTTCTCGTGCTGTCATAGAAGTAGGAAACAGTTACAGCCTGCTTGCTTGCGGGGACCCAGTTCTTCTTCGTGCTGGGGTCAATTTGGAAGACATGGGCTCTGGTGGTGAAGATGGGCTGTTCTCTGGAATAGGGAGGGACAGGAGAAATGGATGCATGAGTCTGTGGAAGATGAAATGTCCCGGAAGCCCAGACCTGACCAGGCAGTGCAAGGCCAATTTTTCCTCCTCTTGTTACACTGACTGTGTAACCCACTTTTTCCTCCAACCACTTATTTCCAGGAAAGGATGCTTACATGCACACTTTCTTTCCCCATCTACACATTTTCCTAAGCACCACAAACCCCACACGGCCAGCTTTCCTCCTGCTGCTCCTTGCTGTGAGCTGTGGTCCTGCTTAGAGCCAGGACTGCTCTGTGGAGGCACCAACGATGCTACCAAAACAAAGGCACAATGCCATTCCTGAAGTACTAATGTCTCTATCCTGAGAACGGCACCATACTGTGGATGTGCCTGAAAAATTCATCAGATGCAAATGCAGTTAATCTGCCTGGGGAGTAAGGGGGGGGGAAGAAACAGGCCCATGGCCCTGCCAGTGCTTTGCCGTGTGCCAGGGCTGAGGTAAGGCCCCTGGCACCCCAGCCCTAACCAGCACCGCTGTTCAAAAACATTTTGTGACCAGTGTGACCCTGAACACATGGCAATGCAAACTGCGTGTAGGAGCGGAGAGGATGCAGGACTCAAAGAACAAGAACTTGGTGATACACACCAAGCCATCCAGATCAGAATTAAGACTTACTCAAAGGCTGTAAAACTAAACTCACCTCAAGGTATTACCTTTAATCCAAGTTTAGAAAAAGTAAACTGCAAATAAAGCCACGTCGTGTTTATATAAATGTATATGGTATATATTTTTATGCTTTTTATTCTTAAAAGCTACAGTATATAATGGTATATATAAAGTGTACCACTTGATATTTTCTTATCACATACAAAATATTTTATCATTAATAGAATTCTGACAATATCCAAAAACAACTGTACTGTAATAGAGTCCATTATTAACTCCCACAAATATTTACCTCATGTAAACCAAGAAGGCTGCCATGCTGAATTTTGCACAAAGCAAATGAAGATCGGTATGTGAAAGGCCAGAAGATCTCTCTCACAAGTCATTCTTTCATATCGATGTAAATAATTCTCTTCTGTTATTCTCAGTCCCATCATTTTTGAACTAAATTTTTATTAATTTCTATAATCTTCAGCTCCTTTTAAATCCACCTCTACATTTTTTAGAATATAAGAAGTTGAGTTCTGTATGTGGGAACCGTACAAAACACCATGCACAATCTTGATCACTATACTTTAAATAAAATTGAGGGAAGCAATTCATAAACATTGCACAGATGAAGCAATGTAACTGCAGAGCTAGCTCAGGAAGGCTGGTATGATTTTGCAAAGCCCCACAATGCCTCAGAAGGGAGGAAATGAAACATTTTTTTTTCTTTGCAAGACATATGCAAGGCTTTACATTTTTCAGGGGCTGCCATGCATGCTTCTAGATAGACAGCTGTGCCAAACTCTGTAAAATACTTATATGAAATATATTTAAATTACAAGGGGACTGTCATGTTACAGCTGTGCAGGAGCACCTTTTACTTCAGCTGAGGAGCTGAAGTAACACGGGAAATCTGCCTCTTGTTTCCCACACTACTGTCACTGCAGTCTGTAGCTGGGAGAAAAGCAGGGCCAGGGCTCCACAGTATGTTTTAGATACTTCCATCACACATTACACAGGGTTAGCAAGGGAGGTTTCCCCCAAGCTACTTACTGTTTTAGTCTAAAAAATATGTACATTCTCCGAGTGAAGAATAATTTTGAATTTATTTAGCCTTCTACTTAACTCTGTATTTGTAGTGGATTTATTATCAATTGTTTTTGCTAATGGGAATATGACCTATATATCACAGCCTAAACTTTCAAAAGTTTCAGACTTTTCCTTCATGAAAGCCCAACTTGCAAACAACTTTATATACACATTTCTGTTAATTCATCTTAACAATACCAGAAAATACTGCTAAAATTATGCCTGGGCTCTCTGAAGCAGCAGCAGTAACCATATAAAGTAAATCTGGAGATAACAAATGCAAAATGAAGGGAACAACTATCTATCTCCATTCCTTCAGGAGTCTTGTAGCAGCTACTGCTGGCAGCGAGGGCTTTATACATGCATTTGAGTGGGTAAATTAATGGATAATAACATTCAGGACTTGAGATAGCCATCTATCCAGTCATTTGTTGCTGTCATTAAAAGCTAAAGACAAAAGTCAACTATATTTCTAATCCTTATGATTATTCAACAACGACAAAGGCTTCCCCTTGCACCATGCCGTCAGTGAAGCCAGCAGCCAGTGAAGAGCACACAGGCAACTATAAAACTTCAATTTTCCAAAGAAACAGTGAATTAGCCTTTTTTTTTTTTTTTCTTCCCCTAAACTACACCATGGCCTTGGAGACCTCCAGACTGATGCTTTATTCCATCAATGCCTCACTGCATTACTTGCAAACTTTGACATTCAGGAAATCAATTCCATGACTAAGGAATGACTTTGTTTTCCACAGTTTCTTTCCTTTTCACTTTAGCTAAGATTTATCAGGTTTTATGCTAAAAATGGCTGGTATGCTAGCTTGAAATGTTGGCAATGTCATTTGGTGTGTGAGCCCGTAACCTGGTCGTGATGTGAAAGTGCAGGTGAGAAGCACTGGCTCTGCCAGGCAGCCAAAATGTGAGTTGTAAATCAAAAAACAAAGAGAATTTATGAATGTTTAAAATCTCATGAATTTTAACCGAATCTGTTAATGATCAATCAAATACATTTCTCTTTAGAAAAAATCTATTTAGAAATCTATTTGACAGTAATATCCAGTGTTTCGAGCAAAGCAGCTTGAAATCTAGCAAATGGAAACCTAAATTATAGTTAATGGTTCTTTGTTTAATAACACAGATTAAGACAGAGAACACACTTTGATAAACTTTATTATTACACATGGCTGGCATGTTTTATAAATATGATAATAATTTTCAAGCCACGGTTTTATCGATTTTAGTTGACTTTTCATTTCCATCCTTGTGTTATGTGAGACAACCCTCACACAATAAGCAATCATTCTCCATTAACGAAGGAATATGTCACTAACCTTTTCACAGGAATTAGAAAAGCAAAAACTAAGGCTCTAAAGCTAACTAACTTCATCCACAGCTGTGTGAGGTCCAGTGCCACATTCTGTTAACATATAACCATGCCAAATTTTACGAGTGTGTGACGGGCTCCTTTAAATACATCTTCATATAGCTGACATCTGGTGGAGGATGCACGTGCCTCCAGACTGTGTGGCAGAGTAGAGTTTTTGGAACGTGGCGCTTCCCGCTACGGGCCACCTTTGTGCATGCGCTGAGCTTTACACTGCCTGACAGATCTGCAGTGATTTGCTACATGAGCATTAGATAATGAGCATCTTTCAAGGAAGAAGAAAAGTAGGTACAAAGATAAAATGCTGCGTTCCAACATGCCCCCCATCACTGCAACTGATCATGATACAAAAAGATATATTTGTTAAATGCAGGCAGAGGAACATGGTGCCTTCAGTCCCAAACAAACCTGAATCAATCCATCCTGCACCCTGAGAGCAGCAAGCTCTCCACTCACTCTCCCACAGCTTCAGAAGTCTCCAAGTGCCTCCCAAATGTACACAGAGTTACAGCTGCATCATCACATATTATCGGCACACAGAATTTGTCTTTGCTCAAAACACAGAGGGGCCCGGCCATCCTCCAGGCAGTCTTTCCAGGCAGTGGAAAAACACACGAATTAGTTTCTCAGTGCTGGTGCTTTGTCCTTGCTCAAACTGCTAACCTCACCGCAGGTGCTCAAGTTGGCATGAGTACATCCTCCTTATATGCCATGAGCAGCCCAAGGCCCCTATATACTGCATGCTCTGTGTCCATCACTGCAGGGTCAGCAACCAGAAGCACCCTGCCAGCAGGGGACAGGGACCCACCCTCTGGTGTCCCCAGTGTGAGGTCCTGAGAGTCTTCTGAGCAAGGTGCATGGGCAGGGCACCTCTTCCTTCACATAAATATAGTAATAGCATGTGGAGGGGAGATATTTTTGTTTTACTTTTAGTAAAGCTGTTTACACACCTCTGCAAGCCTCAGCTGTCCAAAAACTAACCAGTGCTGCCATGCTCTCCATGCAAAAGCAGCCAGGATTTTCAGGCATGCATTGTCACCGTTAGGTAATGCCGCACAGAACTGGGCAGAGGCAAAAGCTAAGCATGGATGTTTTACAGATGTGATAGCAGCAAACCAGCATTATGAAACGAGGCAGCTCACTACCTTCCCAAATTGGCATGTGCTAATTAATTCGGGTCAGTCAAATCTCATCAGATGCAACACACAAGTCCGGGTGCCGGCTGCCAGCACATATAGCCATCAGGAGCAGAGAGCCTGCTCCGACGTGCAAGACTGCAAAATCGGTAGCATGGAGCAAGCAGGTGGTAATGGCTCCATTTTACACCTGAGGAAGCAGCCATAAAGAGCGAGATGGCATCCCGGGATAACAGAGCCAGTAGCAAGCCTGGAAATAAAATTAAATCGCCTCATTTCCTCTCCGCAGCTTTGCTATTGCTAACATCAGAGGGTGGTTTGGTAGCAGATCTCTCACCCTGGGAAGTTTTTGACTACATGAGTGGAAAAAGCGAAATCAATAGTGGAATATTCACCACTCAACAAAAGCTACTATTGTAAAAACCAACAGTCTTCGTATACCAGAGGGATGCTGCCAGTGGCTTTAACAACAGCTCCCACACAATTCAGAGGCTGGGGGTGGCAGGATACCTGCCTTGCAAACTGGGTCTGCTCCTTGGTGGGACACTTTCCTGCACCTGGTCAGCTCCTGTTGGTCCTGAAATGCAAACACACCTTCAAACACAGCAACTTCCATCGCAAAAATTACTTGGAAGGACGGAGCAGCAACCCTGAGCAAAACAGGCCAGGCAGTGTCAGGACAGAGAGAAAATCAGTATCTGTTGTGTACAGTGGATGGGAGAACTGGCCCAGAGTGAC